AGATAGATAGATAGATAGATAGATAGATAGATAGATAGATGGATAGAAACACAAAATTAAAATCGCAATAGACCCAGAAGAAGCTTTCTTGCTTACAGAAAGTATTAAAAATGTAAACACAGAGAAAAAAAAACGGCCAGCAGCACTCAGTGTTGGGCCCTTTGTGGAGGCCTCAGCTAGAGGCTCCTCCAACCAGAGGCTCCTCCGGCCAGAGGCTGCTCCAGCTGGGCTCCACGCGGGGCAGAAGGCGGCCCACCTCTCGGCTGAGGGCCCTCTCGGTGAGGGCGGGGCGGCCTCCCACGGCCAGCAGCGCGGGCTGGGCGCCGCGGACCTGCGTGCGGCGGCTCTGCAGCGCGTTCTGCTGGTGGGGCAGCAGGTGGTAGTTCATGGCGTCCACCAGCAGCCGGTGGCACCCGGCGTCCAGCATCATGCGGGCCACAGGCTGGATCTGGCTGACCAGCTCGCCGGCCGGGATCGTCTCCAGGCGGATGTGCGACAGGAGCTCGGCGGCGTGAACCTGGCGGGAGGCTTCGAAGTCCAGCCACTTCATGGCGAGCTGCGAGGAGAGGATTTAAAAAGGCTACCAAAAAGGTAACAAGTTCCACTACTTGGGAGAAATGATCACCTCTCAGTTTAAACCGAAACAGAACTCTCCAGGTTAATAACAGCTCGTCTAATCTAGGTTAGAACCAGCTAAAAACCGCTTTAAAACCTGGTTCTGCTGCTCTAAAGCCTCAGAGCTGCATGGGGAAACCTCCTGTTGCAGTAAATGATACAGAGCTGATTCCTCTTTCTGTCTCTGAGTGAAGCAGATGGAGGTCAGTCTGACAAATAAGTCCTGAAATGGAGAAATAACTCTGTGCTGCTTTAAAAAGTTCCTGTTCCCCTAAATTACAGCAGATCTGTAAAAGTTTGGATGCTTTTAATGAAGCCCTGATCCTAAAATGGACACTTTGAGCTCCCATACATCAGATTTAACTCCTGTGAGCTCTGAGGCTTCTTTCTGAGCCCAGATCCTTTTCCTCTGCTCAGTTTAAGATGAACTTTGACAGAGTTCCTGTCATTTTCTGGAATTGTGTCCCTCTGCGTCCTTTACAGATCAGATTAATGTCAGCGTTCCTCATAGATTTATTTGTGTATATGAGGTGTCAATTTTATTATACTGCCCTCTGCTTCTGGAAAAAAGGGGGATTATACATCAGTGAGTTGGTGATGATGCAGATAAAGGAGAAAAACTTAAATATTTTGAAACTTTCCCCCAAAATCTCAAATAAATAATTACCATGATCTATCTGGATCAGACTTTTGACATGAAGTGACTCTGTGCTGTTTTTTCTGGTTTCAAAGTAAAAAATCTCCTTTAAATCTTTCATTTCACAGCTGCTGGGCGTCGGATGGCCTCACGTTTTCTCCGGGTTATAAATAATAAGCCAAACCAGCTAAATGTGGAGGCTCTGAGCAGCTGCTCTGAGCGCTGTTTTTAGGCCCCGGTCGGAAATAGAAGAGGGTCCCAGAAAGAGGCCGAGGGGGCACCTGGCTCCCCTCGTCCCCTCGAGCAAACCACCCCCCCAAAAACCGTCTCTCTCTCTCTCGGCTCGGCCTTTGACCTCTGACCTGGAAGGCGGTGACCTCGGAGGGCAGCACCAGCGCGTCGTCCTGCAGGAAGGCGGAGATCTGCTCCAGTGTGAGCTGGGTGAAGAGCGGCGTGTCGGCGAACTGCTGGAAGTGCTCCAGCACGAAGCGGCGGGCGGCGTCGCACACGGGCCGCAGGCCGTAGGCGGCGGCGATGTTCCACACGTACACGCTGGTCTGCACGCTCAGCTCGGCCAGCAGGAAGTCCATGCACATGCGGAGCAGCTGGGGGATCTGCAGGGTGGCGGCGGCCGACACGGTGCAGCCGATGGTGTACAGGGACATGTGCACGCGGCCCAGGTAGGCGAAGGTGATGACGTTGGCCAGACCTGGAGGCAGAGAGCTGAGTTTAACCCCCCTTTTGTGCTTACAGGTGCAAATGTTGGAGGTTCTGCTTCTCAGAGAAGCCGTTTCCAGCTCCTGAACACATGTTCCCACTTAGCTCATGTATTGGAAATCAGAGCTGAATCTGGAGTAAAAAAGCAGGAATCATATATTCAGATTTATTTTTATTTCTTTTAGTAATCTATCTGATTCCCAAATAATTTGCGGAATTTTTTACAGCTTATTTAGGAAAAAACTGACATCTTTCTATCGTTTTAGTGTAAAATCAGTTCCTATTTTCAGAGAATTCTTCATCAAGCTGAACAGCGAGACATTTTAAGCCTCATTTTGTCCTCTCAGGTTAAACTGAGTCTGTTTTTGGTCTGAAATCATGGAATATAGCTGGAACAGAGCTCATTTAGTGGAAATCAGAGCTGGTTCTGGAGGCAAAAAGCAGAAAGTGTGAGTAGTTTCCCCTCTGGTTCTGGTCAGTGGCTCAAAGCTGGATGGAAAATCTGCTTCTGTCAGAGCTGATCAGGATGCTGATCTGAAGCATTTCAGGGTTTGAATGGCAGCTCAGAGTGGCTGTTTTCTAAAGCAGGAAGTCTAAAATGATCCACAGCTCTGAGTTCCAGCTTTTAGTCGACTGGTTTCAGCACATCAGCACAGTTTCCTTCATTTCTGGATGCTGGAACAGAGTTGATTTCCAGGAAATGAAGCCTCATTCTGGAGAAAAACCAGCAGAACTCTGAGTTCTTTTTCTTACCCAGTGGAGAGAGGGAGGGCAGCTCCAGCCGCTTCATCCCTGGATCTTTAGCCAGAATCTCTCTGAAGTACTGACTGACAGAGGAAATGACCAGCTTATGGACGTCAAAGGCTTTTGTCTTGCAGGCCAACTCCAAATCAGTCAGGAATCTGAAGGGAGTGAAACGAATATGAAAATCTGATAAAAGAACTCAGATCCCAGAATCTTTATTAGTCACTGTGTTGTAGTATTTGGTGTCTTTAGTTTGGAACTGTAAATAAAAAGTCAACTGAGCCATCTTAAACTGCACTTAATTGGCTAAATTATATAAAACATTTTACTAGAATTAAGTTTATTGTATTTTATCAACGTGAAAAATGTGTTTATGTGGTTTTAAACCAACCTAAAGAGATTAAACTGCATAGAAATAGTTTGTATCACCCCAGCTCTGTCAAATGGTGCAATAACATGTTTTAATGTTGAAAAAGTAAAATTTTGCCACGTTGAACAGTTTTGATTGGTTCAAGTGGTTTGAAAATTAGTCTGCAGTGTAACTGAATAAAGTAAC